TACTGCAAGCTGGGTCACCTTAGGGTAATGCTGGCTTGGAACTGTCCTGGATGTGTCAGGACAGTCATGAATTCAAAATTGCTCATCTCCCCTTTGATCTTCTGGGTGGTTCCAAAGTTGGTGAGCATCTCAGAATTTAGACTCTGCAGACGAGTTCACCATATGAATCATATTTTGATCCCATATAAATGATGGGGTTTTTTTTGGTGGTGGTTGTTTGTTTGTGTCCTGGCAGAATCCAGGTCCAGATGAAGAGCTGGAAGAAACTGCTGCTTCCTGGTAAGAGGTACCTGTTGAAGCAGCAGCTGCCTTCTCTTCACCCAGCAGACCTAAGAAAGAGGAAGACAGACTCCCCAGTGTCCCTCCTGGCCTGACACGTTGCTCAACACCACGAAGAGAAGGAACCCTTAGAACATTCTACCAGGAGATCTATTTATCAGGGCAATTTGCAAAGATACAGCAACAGAACCTTGGGAAGCAGAGCAACAATGTTGGCTATCATTTTAGGGATAACCTGATTCTGTGGGTTTAGTTTTATGAACCTCAAAGAGTTCTTTAAGAAGTAGAATAAATGAGCTTTGTCATCTTGGCATACAAAGTTTACTTAGTAATGGGCCACTTGAAATATTATTTTATTTTAAAGTAAATAAGAATGACTATGGCACAGAATGTAAATTTTATGCAAATGTTTAAGATAAAGCAAAAGACTTCAGAGACTTTCCTCTATAACTACATACCCAGATCTGCCCCAGACCATCTACTTTGGCTCTGTGGTCACAAAAGTTCTTTAGTGCAAAAGCTTGAGTAGCAATGGGTTCTCCCCCTAACTTCCTATATCTGTATGTAATTAGCAAATCTAATGTAACGACCGATTTAAGTGATGAACATTACCTAAAGCAAGACATCATATTAATGCAAAGCTGTATCTGCTTCATGAGCTTATATCTGCCGTGAGTGTCAGGTTATGTGTCCCTGGTCAAAACAATACACGAGTGTGATGTGTCTTTCTCTGCAGGCACACAATGTCCATCTGCTTCTCCATTGGTGATGCTAATTTTGAGGGCCCACTCAAGATGTTGCTGAGATTCATCCAATATATAGTATACTAAGACAGTGTACATGGTATCCCACTGTTCAGGTGCTACTTTTTCCCCCTCATGACTAATGAAAAGTCTAGGGAAGCATTTTGAGATCACAAAAATACACTGCTCATCATCAAACTTTCCTCCTAGATTTAGCATCCACTGACAGACCTTTGCCCTAACTGGTCTTTACCAAAATGGTTGCAAAATAGTGATTTTCCAACTCCATCACTCCCTCCTCATTTACCAGTCAGCACTCCATTGTACACTGGACCCTTCTCACCCACTTACTTACCTATCTGGTTCATCTGTTTGGGATTTGTTTAGTTACTTATTATCCATAAGGACTTGTGGATTTCTGTTTTATTCAACAAGTTACAAGCCATTATTGTCATTCCTTATTTTGATGCTCAAATTGTCCCAGATTTGACCAATGAGAGCCTCTTCATGCTGATCCTGTGTCCTTTTGACATGACCACATTATTGTTTTGAGCACTTCCTTAGTTTCTGGCACAAAATATGCCAGGCTTATTATTATTATAGTCATCATCATTATTACTATTTGGTACCTTCTCTGCTGCAGCCCTAGAATAAGCAATTACTCTAAGGGTCCCTGGCTCCTCTTAGTGGGGACTGTTTTTTAGAAGCCAGAATCTGGGTACTGGATGGGCTCATTGCTACTTGGGTGCCACTGCTTGTAGGTCCTTTCGAAGGACAGAGTTGGGATTTTTCAATCAAGTCTAATCCCATAGGCAGATCCCCTGTCTTCAGCATTTACACATTTGCCCAATCCCACCATACTCACAAAATAGATTCAGAATTGCTGTAACCATATTACCACAAATGACACCAAATGGAGTTTAGAATTTATTTGCAGTTCTTTTTTCCTCCCTAGATCGAGGGGTAGATAGCGAAAGTATTGTGTTCAAAATTTAATATTGTGTGTACTACTATATTCTAAAGCTTTTTTCCCTCCCTTTCTGAGAAATTTTGCTATTCACTTGCAATATTATTGGATTCATTTTCTTCTGTTTGAATTCACTTTTAATTTTCCCCCAGTCTTGTTTAATTTTTGAATACATAGAACATTAATATGCTTTCAAAAGTCAAAACTGTGCAAAAAGGTATACTCAGAGATGTGTCATTTTCTCCCCAAGCCCTGCACCACCTCCCACATCCTAACAAGATGTAGGGCAAAGGTCTGCCAATGGACGCTAACAAGATGTGGGAGGTGGTGCAGAGGAGATGGCTTGGGAAGGGAATGATAGTTCTGTTGGTAACCAGTTCTGTTGGTTTGTGGTTTATTCTGTTTCTTGTTTTTGCTTTTTTTTTTTTTTTGTAAAATAAGTAATTACACATCTACTTTTTGCATTTCTTATATAAAAGGTAGTATGCTATATATAATTCTTGCAAAAAGTAGTATGCTACATGTGATTTTGCTCATTTTACTTAGAAGTATATTCTGTAAACCACTCTCTATCAACTAATAAAGGTCATTCTCAGTCTTGTTTTTAATATTGACTCCATTAGGTGTAGGTACCATAGTCTATTCAATCTCTTATGTTTGGGCATTGAAGTAACTTCCAATATTTTGAAATTACAAGCTATTCTGCAATGAACAAATTTGTGCATATATATTTTTGTGCTGTTAGAGGTTCATCTACAGGGTTGAATTCTTAGAAGTTTGCTGGGTCAAAGGGTAAATGCAAATTAACCTCCATAGAGATTGCCCCATTTGGCATTCCCACAATCAGTGAATAAGACTGTCCCTTTTCCCATAGCCTCACCAACAGAGTGCATGGTTAAGCTTTTAGTTTTTGCCACTCTGATGGGTGAGAAATGGTATCTAATTATAGTTTAATTTGCATTTTTCTTATTACGAAGTTGTACATCTTTTCTTATGTTTAAAAGCCATTTTTTATTCTTTTTTGTGAATTGTCAGTTTTTTTGCTCATTTTGTTCCTATAGCAATTTTGGGGGGTTCTCCTCAATTTAAAAAAGTTATTTATATATTAGAGATTATTAATTCTTCATGTGTGCTATATGTCACAAATATTTTCTCCTATTTTATCATTTGTCTTTTGGCTTTGCTTATGATGTGTTTTTGGCTTACAAAATTTTTTTGTTGTTATTCTTATTTTAAGTAGTCAAACTTATTTATCTTTCTCCTTATTGCCTGTAGATTTTGCAGTCATTATTAGAAAGTCTTCCCAGAATGCAGGTCACAAAGAAATTTACCCAGGTTTTCTTCTAGTGCTTGTAATGGTTTCATGTTTTACAATTTAGACGTCTGATCCACTTGGATTTCTTCCTTGGGTATGATGTGAAGACTGAACTAATTCTACTTTTCTCTAAATGGCTCTGATTTTCCCAAAAGCATCTGTTACAAAGCCCATCTTAGCCCCACTGATCTGAGACGTCACCTCTATTATATACTATATCCCCATATATTGTTGATTTTGTTGGACCTTCTACTCTACTGATCTGTCTATCCAGGTGCTACTACCACGTTTTAATTATAGAAAATGTGTCTTATATATTTTTTAAATTGATGAAACAAACAAAATGACTGATCAAACTGGCTCTTTGGGGTTTGTAGTACACAAAACCACTGAGTGATCTGGTTACTTTAATACTAGCTAGCCACACTCCTCCTCCTCCTTACTCCTATTTTTCCTGCCTTACCCAACAACATATAAGAAGAGATGAAGTTATCACCATGGTTGCTATTGTTAATACGGTGCCAACATAAATGGGGCAGCTTATTTTGTTTCCATGATTTAAAACCAAACTGCGGACAGACTCAAGCTGATAAAAGCTCACAGTCTCCCCGGCATCGGAGAAGGCTTTTCAGATCAACATCCATCTTTATTCAAGATGACTTTTCCTGGGGAAGGAGTCTCCCTTTTTGACAAGGAGATACATTCGTATTTCCAGGGCTGCATTGCATACTTTAAGACTGAGACGGGGCAGGCTGCTGTGGCCTGGCCTGTGTCATGGTGTCCCCTGAAATGAGTTCCCACATGCTTTTCCTGCCCTGAGTTTGCCTGCAGCTGCCAGAAGTGCAGCAGGAATGAGAGAGCCCAGGGAGAAAAAAGCTGACCCATGACAGCCATCGAGATCACTCTGGAGGACAGCTGTGTCTGGGTTACAGTGATTAATGTGATGTTAATCCCAACAAAAATGACTGGAGAGAGGCCCTGTAAGAACATTTACAATCAATAAATGAAAAACACCACTCCCATCAGACTCATTATCACTATGAAAAATCACCCTGAGATTACATAAGAAACCCGGCCATTGAGCCATTACTTGATGACTGGCAAAGCTCCTCGTTTTCAGCTAATTCGGCATCAGAATTTGCTGCTTAGAATTCGGCTTTAGAATGGGCCCATGGCCAGAGTTCAAACAACAATCAAGTGCCTACTGAACCACCATTCAAGCATATTCTCACTTATGCATGGGAAGAAAAAGAAACTGCAGCCTCCATGGTGGCCCCAATTCATTATTAGAGCTGAGCTTTGGTTACATTCCCAATTGAGACACAAAGATTCATTGCCAGGACTAGCGCTCACATATGGTGAGGACAGAATCTAAGAATGCTTGTAATCATTGCTACACTTACAGAATTTGAACACATGTGAAAAAGCAGCATAGAAGTAACTAGAAAAGACACAAGCAAAACGTGATTTCTTTTGCACAGACCAGCTACCTTTCTGAAGTATATGTCATACTTTCTAGTACATTATGATTATTCACCAACTTTGCTTGTCAAGGTGATCAACACTATACATACAATCAAGAAAAGTGCCACTGAACCCAAAAAATATGAGTGATACAGTTGCTATGTTCTAGAATTAACACAATTTAGGGATTGGGGTAAAGCTCAGCCTCTTTTCCAGGGCCCCGTGGACTCACAGTGCTGTCGATGTAAGCTTCAGTCCACACCACATCATGCTCCTGGTCGATGACTTTGGGCCGGCTGAGCACGTGAAGGTATTCCATGACATTCTCCTGCACATCAGCCAAGGTGGAGATTTGAGTAAAAAATCCTGCCAAAACCCAAGGGAGGGCCAAATTTAGTAACAGACCTAAAGACCTGCAACTGGGAGTATGCATATGCCACGCTTTCTTGTCCCTTTTCTTTGTGACAACATGTTTAAGTGCAGATGACTGTGCCCATTTTAAAGATAAGATGACTGATGCAAGCTCTGCCTCCCGGGTTCACGCCATTCTTCTGTCTCAGCCTCCCAAGTAGCTGGGACTACAGGGGTCCGTCACCACGCCTGGCTAATGTTTTGTATTTTTAGTAGAGACGGGGTTTCACCATGTTAGCTAGGACGGTCTCTAGTTTCTTTCTTTTTTCTTTTCAATGTTAGCTCCTCTCCCCCATTTTTCTTTTCAATGTTAATTCCTCTCCCCCATCACCTACTTTATGAGTAGTAAGGTCATGTTAGAAAATACAGTCAAGCAAACGTAATAAAATTAAAATCAACCACAAACTCATCTCCCAGAGGAAGTTCCTGTTAATTCTTTGGAGAATATCCTCCCAGACTTTATATGCACACCACCCTCCCTCATATATACATATATGTATACACACACACAGAGTATATGTTTACACACACTGTGTGTGTGTGTGTGTGTGTGTGTGTGTGTATTCCCTGGCAGAAATGAGAGTCCTTTCTACATGACATTTTGTAACCTTATTTTTTCACTTTTGTGAGTCTATTTCCAAGGGAAAAACTATGAACCACAAAAATTAAAGGCTATTTCATTTTTATAAATATAACAATAGTTATGATTAATTTTTGAGTGCTAAGTGCCGTGAAATTTGCTAAACACTTGATCAATGTTGTCCCTTTTCTTTGTGACAACACGTTGAAGTGCAGATGACTGTGCCCATTTTAAAGATAAGATGACTGATACAGATGGAGATATGTTTTTTGCCTATGCTCTCTCAGGCATCAAGTAGCAAATACAGATGATGAGTCTAGGTTTGTAAGTCTCTTAATTTGTCCCTTTTACTTCTACTGAATTTTGCCCCTTGTATGTTTGAGGCTGAAATTTCAGCTCATATCATGATGTGGTCCCCAGCGCTGCCTTTTATATATGTTGGGTAGACATGATTTCTTTTCTTTTTTTTTTTTTTTTTTTTTTTTTTTTTTGAGATGGAGTCTTGCTCTCTCACCCAGGCTGGAGTGCAGTGGCACGATCTCGGTTCACTGCAAGCTCTGCCTCCCGGGTTCACGCCATTCTTCTGCCTCCGCCTCCCGAGTAGCTGGGACTACAGGCGCCCGTCACCACGCTCAGCTAATGTTTTGTGTTTTTAGTAGAGACGGGGTTTCACTGTGTTAGCTAGGACGGTCTCAGTCTCCTGACCTCGTGATCTGCCCGCCTCGGCCTCCCAAAGTGCTGGGATTACAGGCGTGAGCCACCACGCCCAGCCGGGTAGACGTGACTTCTAAGCAACAGAAACATTCTCAACATGCTGTTGTCTTATGATTGGGGACGCCATTTTGATCTTGAGCTCCAGGGCACTACTATGTTCCTGCACTGATGAAGAGTTCGGGGTCACATCTGCTTTGCTATGGGTTAGGAGATGTTAAAAGGGAAAGGGTGAATTGAACACAGGCCTGGATCCCTTGGAGCGAGCCCTTCATTCACACATTGATTGAAGGTTTTCTTGGTGTTTAGCATTGAAGAAGCAGCGATTAACAAGGTGAGCAAGACCCCTGCCCCCCTGGGGCCTGGCAGTTCTGAGTAAACAATTACAAAATGGTACATTCAACATTAAGCTAAAACATACAACAGGTACAGCCAATCAAATGTGGTTACCCTGAGCAAGGGTCAGTGTAGCTGGAACCTGAAGGATGAGGACCAGTTAGCCAAAGGAAGAGGGATTAAAGATAGTGTCCAGCAAAACAAGGAGTATAAATAAGGACCCAGAATCAGAGAGAATCAGGCCCCTTCTAGGAACTAAAACTAGCTCAGAACGGCTGGAGTTAAGGAGTTGGTGGAGTTGGTAGAGAGAGTGTAGAGACAGGATGATATAAGATGACAGAAATGGGCAGGAAGACTGTCACACAGAACTTGGGAAAGAGTTTAGACTTTATCCTGTAGACAGGAAGGATTTCAAGCAGGGGATGGACACAGATTCTTGTTTCCTCCCCATGCCTGTAAATAAGGATCTTAGGCTCATACCAGCTTCTACTCACCAAACAAATTAAAGAGAGTATGTGTGCCTCTGAGGCCAGCTCCATCGCAGCACTAGCTCCAGAGTTTATAGAATCTCTTAGTGACTAAAACAGGGCTCAGGATAAGGAAATACCAGCCTTTCTGTTGTCCAGAAAGGGTCGGGACGCACCCAGAGGATTTCTAAACAAAGGCCAGCTGGTTTGAATTTGGTGTGCCGACCCCAAACCAGGTTGGGACCATGTGGCTTCTGGGTTCCTGATGACAGCTCTGCATAGTGCTAATTAGCATGCATTGTCACTCCTGCCTGCCCCACCCTCCTGGCCTGGGCCAGAGCCTTTCCCATCCCAGGGGAAACAGGGCCCCAAAGGAATAGGCTGTGAGTTTCTGTCCTAGTTTGAGACCTGGGAGCAGGGCCTATGTTCACCTCTCTCAGCCATCAGGCACCATAGTTAGGGAGACCCATTTAGGATGCTGCTCTAGCAATGCTCCTACGTGGTTCCTCTTAGAGGCATGGTTGGAAAGGACAGGTTTTAAAAAGGTTTGCCAGAGGACAGGGAACACACCACACCCATAGTTATCATCTCTCCAAGCATGGAGGCTGCACTCAGCGTTTGACAAGAAAGAAAATATTTCACCTTTTCTTTAGTAGGCAAATCTTGGGCTCTACATAAAGGGTCTTGACACAGAGGACAAGCTAAGAGGGGTGCTACCATGTTGAAGGAGGGGGACACAGCTCAATAGCTCTGAACCTTTAGGATACAGGGATGAGCACTTTGCAGTGTCAAATAATTCTGTTTAGGCGCCTGTGCTCCTGGGCCCAGACAGCATCTTGTAGGAGTTCTTCTTGGTTGTCTGTATTCACATTTAATCCTCAAAGCCAGCAGTAAAGCTCCCTGACTTGGGTTTTCCAAAACAGTGCCAAGGGAAGAAAGATGAATTTAAGGAGGAGGGTAGGAGGGACAGGTCATTAGCATAGAGAAGGAGTTGGGGAAAAACAACCATACATTTGGAAAAGGACAGGGCTGAGAAATCATCCCCACTTGGTCTTGCTTATCACAGCCAAGGTTCTGAAAGATTACAGAAAGCTGACTTCTGTCTCCAGAGTGACAGACCCATGGTCAACTGTATACCCGACACCTCTACAGGGATAACTAGCAGAATTCTCAGGCGGAACTCATCCAAAGCCAACTCCTGATTTCCCTTCCCAAATCCATTCCTCTCCCAGTTGGTCATTCCCATCTCAGAAAATGGCACCACTGCCCAGAGAGGCCAAAACATAATTATCCTCGATATCCATCCTTTCCTCACCCCACCCCATATGTAATCCACCAGCATGTTCTTCTGATCCTATCTCTAAGATAGATCTAAACTCACTTCCCAATCTCCACTGCTTCACTACTCCAAGATGCCATAATCTCTCACCCAGAGTCCACAAGAGTCTCCCCACAAATCCCTCTCCTCCTTGTCTAACCTTCTCATAGCCATCAGAGATTGTATAAAAGGTCGCAGCAGATCATCATCTTCCTGGTTGAAATCCTACAATAGCTTCTATTTAGAGTTAAAATAAAATCCAGATGTCTTACCCTGACCTCCAAGACCCTCCCTGAATTGGTTCCACCTACCTGGGTGACCTCATCCCTGCTGTCTCCCTCTTGCTCACTGTTCAGGCTTGCTGGCCTTCTTTCCCCGCCTCTCACATGCCAACCATGTTCCCCCCCTCAGGGCCTGTGCACTTGCTGCCCTCCGCCTGGGACACCCTTTATCCCATTTTCCATGTTTGGTTCCTTTTTGTCACTCAGGAATCAGCTCAGAGAGGCCTTCCTTACATTCCTGTCTGAAGTCACTTCCTCTCCCTTCACCCTGCATCAGTTCCTTCAGAGGACTCATCCATCATTGGATTCTCACTTGCTTATTGTGTTCTCTCTAAATGGAATATCAGCTCCATGAAATGATTCAAAAATCTCCACCTTGTTGAGAGCAGTATTCCCAGAACAGGGAGGGCAGGTATGCAGGAGCCATTAGTAAGGCGGGAACATTCACTGAGGTCTTACTGGGATCCACCTTGCCTTTCTGCATGTGGGCCTCACGATGGCCCGATGCATACGCTCACCGCGTAGGGGAAGAAACACAAACTCAGAGTCAGTAATCTGTCCTGGATGAATTCGAATCCAGGTTCATTTGATTCCAAAGTCTTTGCTCCGAACCACTGAAGACACTGCGTCTTTCGCTGTTGGGAAGGGACAGGAGCGATGCTCCGAGCTCCTGCCCCAGGAGGGTAACTCTAATGGGCTATTTGTGTATTGTAGCTGGGGAACTTTGAGGATGGGGATGGGGCAATATATGACTGTCCTCTGAGGTTTCGGCAGTGAGCGATAACAAAGTTCTACTCAAAGCCCAGTCTATAGTTCCAATTTATATTTCACTATGTAGACTAGGGATGCAGATGTATAAAAAGGTAAGAAAAGATAAAATTTTAAAAATAATATTAACAATAACAATGTATGCTGCAAAGCTTATGCATATTTGATTCCAACCCATTAACATTTAAAATCTTTCTGAGTCTTTTTTTTTTTTAAATGTCTTAGTATAAGTTTTAGTTAACAAATGATTGATAATAGGAAATCACTAAGGGCTGGAATCTGGCTGTAACCATAGACACTTCCCTTGTTTTCCCTCTGTATTCTCTCAGCTGGCCACTTTCCCTTCCCTTTCCTTCTGTTTTTTTCCTGTTAAATTCTAGGTCTTGAATGTTTATTCTCTTTTTTAATGTGCTTTTTTGAACTTCATATATCATGTAAGAAAACAGAATCAGCAATCATTCGGTAATTACCAAGGAGCAATTAATGCTGAAATT